TGATGAATATTAGTTTGAGGCGTTTTGCAGCTCAATAATGGCTCCACCCCTTATATCCTAATCAATGCAAGGCATGTCATTGTAACAGTACAAGTTTAATTGGTTAGTCATGCGTCAGTGTAATCTTTAACGGAATGGTTAAAAATTAATTATGTGATAAATTTATTTTATAATGTCAGTTTTCCTTCCATATCTTCAAATAAGCTTTATATATTGGTTATCTTTTTTTTTTTCCGCCTTTGAAAGGTAGCGCTTCGTCTATTTTGTGACATATGAATAAAAATATGAGAACTCATTCAGGGCAAAAAAAAGAATAAAATATTTGAATAGGCACAATATCGGCGACTCGGGGAGCTATTATTTGGGCTATTGCCTCGTTCGTGCACCCAAACAAATAACAAACGAAAAAAATGAACTGAAGAGAAGTGTTGGCTGAGAGCCTAGGCCCCAAGAAAATGGCACGGTGTCAAGATCCAAATATGTTTTAAGTTAGCCAAAGGGAATTGAGTTTAGCAAAAAGAGCTAATTTTTAACAACATAACAAATTAAGATTCTGATTTCCACGGAAAAAAATGATCATATTTGGTACTAATTCGAATAAGATTATCTCCTAAGTTAAACATGGAGTGATCTTATTCTGCAAGAGAGAGGTGTTTGGAAGCAGCCTCTGCTATTTTCACCGAAAAGGAAAACGACTGTGAAGGAGACTTGGGCATCTGTCTTTGATCCTCACGGTGCATTATGCAATCCGTGCGTGTTCAGTCTTGTCGACCCGAGGTTAAGTGAAGGTTCCAGGATCATCCAGGTTTAGGACCGTTTCTTTCTTTCCTTAGTAAAATGGTACACAATTGGTTAAGGTGAAAAACGAGGAAGAGGAAAATAGTGCTCTGTTTAACTAGTGGCTAGTAGAAGAGAAGGATTATTCAGTTCAGTCTTCATCCACCGCCACATGTTATTTGTGCCACAGAGAAACCATTGACCGAAAACACACAAGGCTCACCGGGGGCTCTGCTAACGTCACCTCCACACACCGCGTTTTTCTTTTTGGGTATAGAAAATCACACCACGTTTCAAACATTTTAATTTGTTAGAAGTTTTCATTTGAGATTTTCGTATTCCTAGCAGAAGAACAGCGCATTAATTTTGCGTTGGAAGCTTTCTCACGCTTTTAATAATTTCATTTGAATATCGTACATAGCCTTAATTTTTCGTTTAATTTTTAGTTTTAATATTGGATGAAGGAACAAATTTACTCATTATAAAATTAAAAAAAGTATCAGCCATCATAATAAAATATAGGGGATAAAAATGTCCATAAACAGTATAAAAGGACGAAAAAATTACCATGCCGTTAATTACTTCACCGTAAACTGTTTGGAGAAAATATTTTACCTCAAAAATACTGATGTGGGTTAAGGGGTGTTTGGATTGCTCGATAATCACTTTTAAAAACAATTTTTTTAAAAATTAAGATAAATTTTTTCATATATTTACTTCGTATAGCGTAAAAACATAAAATCATGATTTTATTTCTTTTTTTTTTTTTTTGATATACTGGAAAGGATAACACTAGGACCTAAACAAGAAACAAAAACAAAAGGAGCCCACAGTCTCCTGTATCCAAATGAAAAAAGTCTCTGGTGGCCTACGGAGTCAGGATCTGCAGTCCAACACCAAGCATCAGTGCCTTCTTTCCAAAGAATCTGCCACTAAATTTTCGTTACGAGGAGTGTATCTGCACTGCACTCTCCAGTCTCGTCTCAGCATCTCCTTTATTTCCGTGATCAGGCGAAAGTCATTATGCACGTCCGAGGGTTCATTGCCGATAAGGGCCAAAGCCACTTGTGAGTCACTTTGGAGGAGAATGTTCCTGAAGCCATTGTCCCATGCTCTTCGTAGTCCCATGAGACAGCCCCACAACTCAGCCGTGAGTTCATCTCCAGTGTCGAGTTTAAATTGAAAGCCTTCGATTACTCTCCCGTCCTTGTTCCTAAGGACACCACCATAAGCTGAACTTCGATTCAGACGTGAGTAAGCCCCATCTACGTCGATCAGACCCCCGAACTCATTAGAGGGTAGGTTATCTGCAGTGTCGATTATCCTAGCTCCGTGGAGGTTGACGCTAGATACTTTCTTTTGTGCTTTCGCCACGCTGCCCAGAATGGCAGTGGCTCGGGCATGGATACTATGCATGTTGGACTCAGTGTTCATCCGTACGCGTTCATTCCTATCGCGCCACAGTAGCCAGCATATAATGATGAATAAACCCTTCCAATAGCAGGAGTGACTACTAACCTTTCTAGTCATGTTGAGTTGAAACCAGTCTTGTAAGTCACTGGAGAAGAACCTATGACGGTAAGCAGGAGTAATAAGTGTCTCCCACATTCTCTTGACATCCTCACAATCCCTCAGAGCATGAAGGGTGTCTTCGGGGATGTGTTTGCAACGATCACATAAGCCCGTAGGGTGGAGGTTTATACGCTTCTTTAACTGATTTGTAATGAGACGATCATGCAGCAAGATCCATGCGAAGGTTTTACATCGTTGGGGAATTTTGAGCTTCCACATCTCCGTCCATCTAATCGAAGTACAGTCACGGTGTGTATTTAAGGACTGGTAGGCAGAGAGAACAGTGAACTCGCCACATTTTTCCCACTTCCACTTGACTCGCACATCACCGTTCCCATCCCGAATCTGTTGAATACCATGTGCTACTTCCTTCCAATTTCTTTTGATGCCATTCCATGCATTTGAGCCTGGTTTACGGGGATTTATTTGTGGCAGTAAATCATTCCCACACCCATACTTTCCTCTGATGACCCGAGTCCAAAGCGATTGGCGATCCTTAACAAGTCCCCATCCAAGCTTCATCATAAACGCACGATTCTGTTGTTTCAAGTGCCTCATACCCAAACTTCCCAGGAGATAAGGTGAATCTTCCTTGCTTCGTCATACGTGCTCTCTTCTCAATATTGTCGCAAGTGTGAGACGGAATGTTTGCTGTTTGCATGGAGTAGGTCGGCATAGCAGCAATGACAGACTTGACCAAGCTACCGCAACCCGCGAAAGAAATACGCGACGTATCCCAGGTGCTTAATCTATTTCGGACCTTGTCGAGTACGAACTGATAGGTTTCAGAAGTGACTCTCTCATGGTGTCATGATTTTATTTCCACCCAAACACCTTTTTAGATTGCTGTAGTGTTTGTCGCCGCTTGGAGGAAGATGAACCTGCGACCGCCCTCCGATTCGTCGTCGCTCTTCAAGTTGGATGATATCGCTGATGAAGCCGCCAGGAAGAAGAAGTAGGCTTTGGTGGGGACCATCTTTGGAAGAAAAGGGGCATCCCGTTTGAGCATCGGGAAGCCATTAGAACCAGAAGGAGGTGTTGCTGCTATTCGATTGTGACTTGAATTAATGAGTTGGCGTCCCAAACCATGGTTTAGCAAAAAATTTGCCAAACACCCTTAAAATTTTAAAAACCATGGTTTTGAGCTGGAAACCTTGGTTTCGGTTGAAGCTGCACGCCACCCGTTTCTGAGGAGTCTTCTGAGGAGTCAAAATAGTCGTTGGTAATTATTGGTCCCTCAGTAGCTTCCAACGGTGATATATATATATATATACATATTTTATTAATATATATTATTTATTAATATATACACATATTTAATTATTTTATTAAATTATTTTGGGAAAAAACATATTTATTTATTTTATTAATATATGTACGTATTAATTTTTTTTATTAATATTTTTTATTTATTTTAAATAAAGATATATTATGAAATATATCTTATATGTAATTATCATTTATACTTATGTCCTTTTTAGTAATTTCTACATATAAAAAAGTACTTCTGACAACAACTATCCAAACACTCTCACTTTATCAGAATCACTTTTTCAGAAAAACTATTCTTTCAAAATCTATTCTCTCCAGAATCTATTCTTCAGAAGTTATTCTCCAAACCATGGTCTGAGGTCATCCAAACACCCCTTTAGTCACAGCTGGAGGAGATGAAACAAAACGTATTTGGGTTGCACTAAGGGAAACAGAACAAGGTCGATGGGTATGGCTATGGCTGTGTGCGCCGAGGAGAAGAAAAACGTTGAAGAATGGGAAAGGTAATTGTACGTATGGGACACGTGGCATTAAATTAATGAGTCCGTGCATTGTGATTGGAGGGGGCATGAATAGGGTGATATTGGATGACACCTGGACAGTAAAATGGGACCCACCAAACATAAAAGTAACGGCCGTTTTGGAAAACTAACGGAGATGACACTTTTATCTCGTTTTAAAGAGTTCATGTGTATTTTTGTCCTTAGTATTTTGTTATAGTGTTTGATGTTTTTTTTTTAATATTATAATAAGTAAATTTGTCTTTTCACCCTTTAATATTTTAAGATTCAAATCTTTTTTTTTTCAACATGTTATTCAAATGAGTTTCTATTAAATTGATTTTTTTATAAAAGCTTATTTAAAAATAAAGCATATTATGCTGATTAATTTTTATTTTTATTTTTAATTTTAATTTATAAAATAAGTCGCGATAAAAGTTACTTTTCCAGGTATTAAAAAAATGTTAATTTTTTAAATGTCTAAACTAGCCCTTGTCTAAGTTTTCAAAAATTATTATAAGAGATTAGACATGAAATAATTATTACTTGAGCTAATTTTAAAAAAATAAATTATTTTCTCAGGTGATATAAATTATTAGTTTCTTAAAATGAATATTTTTCAAAAAATGGTTTAAATGACTAAACAAAATTAAATGAACTGAAAACAAAATTTTTAACCTAATTTAAATAATAGTTATCTCATATTTAGTTATTTACCTCCTCAAAGTCACTCTAAAAAGAATTTAAAAAGAAAATTTAAACAAACATGTCCTCCGTAATCACCTCCCCACAAAACGATATAAATACAACCCCACCTCATGTGCTTCCTCGTTCAATTCCTTTCCCTTTCTGACACAAACGCTCACCTAAAGTCTAAACATGCTGCTTCCATCTCCATTATTGCTACCTTCCCCTCTATTTCTCTTTCTTGCCGTATTTCTCTTCTTCACTGTATCACTTTTGCTCCTACTCTCTCACTTCAAACCAACCAGAGATGGCCGGGAACAACCGCCAGGTCCACCGGCCTGGCCGGTGATCGGCAACCTCCACCTGCTGGGTACCCTCCCCCACCGTTCCCTTCACTCTCTGGCCAGACGATATGGCCCCATCATGTCCCTCCGACTAGGACAGGTGCCTGCCGTTGTCGTCTCTTCGCCTGAAGCTGCCGAGCTTTTCCTCAAGACGCACGACGTCGTTTTTGCCAGCCGCCCAAGGACTCAAGCGTCGGAGTTCCTTTCTTATGGCTCCAAGGGAATCGCTTTCGCTGAATATGGCCCTTACTGGCGCGACATGAGGAAGCTCTGTACTTTGCAGCTTTTTAGTGCGTCGAGAGTGGAGATGTTTCGTCCCATACGAAGGGAGGAGTTGAGAGAGGCGGTGAAGTCGATAAAGGAATCGGCGGCGGCGCGTGATGTGGTGGATGTAAGTGAGAAGGTGGGGGAGGTGATAGAGGACATCATATATAGAATCATACTGGGACGCAAGAGAGACGATAGGTTTGATTTGAAGAGAATAGTTCAAGAGACGCTCAGCTTGGCAGGAGCTTTCAATATCGCAGACTTCCTGCCTTTCTTGCGCCCATTTGATATTCAGGTATCTTTTTTTTTTAATCCCAGTTTTTAAAAAGAAAATTTGGTTAAAGTTTCTGTTAAGAAATTTAATTGGTTAAAAAGATTTAAATTTGAGTAAGTGCACCTATAATTCATGTATGTAATTTTTTTTTTCTGTGTGCAATAATTATCAACACTAAAGTCATTTTAGCACAGCAAAAGATATATTACACACAGTAGAAAAAAGTTACACTTACAGATTATATCTGCTTGCTCTTAAATTCAGGTCTTTTTAGTCAATTAAGTTTTTAAACAGGGATTTTTTTACCAAATTTTTCTTTTTAAAACTAATCATAATCTTTTGTGGCCAAAAAAAAAACCAGTCTTAATATTAAAGAATCAAATTTCTAATTATTCTAATAAGCTACTCTGAATAGATTTTCAAAATAATCAAATGCGAAAGAATATTGATGAAAATACATATAATAAAATCTGCAATTACTAAACAATACAAAAAATAAATTAATAGTTAAAAAACAGAAGAAAAAAATCACCAAAAAGACTGTGAAAAGAGGAAATTTCAAATAATAACACATTACAACATCATCAGTATTGACAATAATTGATAAACAAATCATAACAATTTTTGTGAATTAATTCTTGTTTTGTAATTTTTTTTAATTTTAAGGTTTTTTTTTTGCGATTTTTACAATAAATTAGCCCTTCGCACTAAGTTTTGTTAGACTTCTCAAACCCATGTAAAAAGGGTACATTTTATTTTTCTTTCTCCCTTGCTTGTATGTATTTAATTTGTTCTGTGGGTCCAGAATCAAAATCTCATACAAGCCAAAAATTTGCGTGTCACATTGTCAATCTACCTTTTATTATAATTATACAGTTGGTTACTTTGCTCTCCTTTTGTTTTTACTGAAATTTTTTATTTAAATTATACAGTTGGTTGCTTTGTTTACCAATAAGTGATTCTCAGTAAAATATAATAAAACAGAGAACAAACATGACAGATAAAAACTAAGCTAAAAAATATAATTACAAAATTTAAATTTTAAAGAAGATAAAAGAATTTGAGTGAAACTAGATTGTTAACTCAGGCCACACGTGAAGTTAGAAATAAGCCGCAAAATTTTAGTTTTGTGAAAAGTATAATTTTGCACAAAATTTTATAATATATATAACATAGTTTACATTAATCCTACAAAAATTTGTTACTAGCACTCATATTAACCAAGTATTACTGATCCAGGGTTTTACAAAACGCTTAAAGACGAATGGTAAGGAAATTGATGAAATGTTAGAAACGATCATCAAAGAGCATGAAGAGGCACAAGCAGTACTGCAGAAAATGCAACACAAGGACATCGTGGACATATTACTCTCTTGCTTGAAGGATTCTCATGACGATGAACAAAATCCAGTCAAAGATCGAACCAATATCAAGGCCATACTTTTGGACTTGCTTTCCGGTGCAATAGACACTTCCGTCACTGTTAGTCTCTGGGTTTTCTCAAAACTCTTGAAGAATCCCAGAGTAATGAAAAAACTCCAACATGAGCTGGAAAACCTTGTAGGAAAAAGCAATTTGGTCGAGGAGGTTGATTTGCCGAGGTTGACTTACTTGGACATGGTGGTCAAAGAGACTTTGAGACTACATCCTGTTGCGCCATTACTGCTCCCTCGAGTCAGCACCGAGGATATAACTATCAATGGATATTATATAAGGAACAAGTCACGAGTGATTGTGAATGTGTGGGCAATAGGACGGGATCCTAAGATATGGTCGGATAATGCGGAAGCGTTTTATCCAGAGAGGTTCCTGAATAGCAATGTAGATCTCCGAGGAAAAGACTTCCAACTGATACCATTTGGTTCAGGTCGAAGAGGATGCCCTGGCATGCAGTTAGGGTTAATTACTGTTAAGCTGGTTATAGCACACTTAATGCATTGCTTTAATTGGGAACTTCCACAAGGCGTTTCTCCTGATGAAGTGGATATGACTGAGAAATTTGGACTATTGATTCCAAGAGCTAATCACTTAGTAGCTCTTCCATCATATTGCCTAGCAGAGTGATTGTTGTGCTTAATCATATGTCAGTGTAATTTTCTTTATGACCTGAACTGTTTAAGATTATGTAATTTGCGTTATGATTGGGTCTTTCCTTCCATATTTTGTAATAGTTTTTACATAAATGATATTCATTTTTTCTTAACAATAGATGAAGAACATAACAACCGCATTATATTGATGCTCATAGAGTCTGATCAATAGTTGGAATCAAACTCTAGACCTGTTGCCACCAAGAGCACATCCTGTGCTACTAGACCAAATAGTCTTAGGTTGAAATTTGTATTTTGCAAAAAAATTAAAATAAAATAACATCATACATAAAATATTCATTTTCTTTTACTTCATTTTTATATGCAGCGCATACAAGTGAGGATATATAGATATATTATGTTCATTTTCTCTCATCTTGCTTGTTTGTTTAAGAAAATGAAACTACGCAAACTAAAAAAAACAAATAATAAAATCTTCGCGCGCCGCATGAAAATGAATACACCATGTTGTAATTAATAACCACATAATGATAATAACAATTCATATCTTGAAAAGAAACATAATATTCATAGGTATCGAGAGTGGAGACATCAAAGCCTATTAGTCTTAATATGTAAAAATATCATAATACTACGTATGATTCTTAATATAAGAACTAGTTGATTAATTTGAGTAGATTAAGAAAGTTTGTAAATTAGTTATTTATAATAAATAGGCGTTATTTTTCTAGAATACCCTTACTAATTAAATGTATTAGGTAAAACTATTATTACTATACGGACAATCTTTCAAAAAAATAGATAAACATGAGAGACAAAATAGATTTATTGAGGTCTTGTATATATTTAAGACTAAAACAAAAGTCAAACGAACTCTTATATTAAATATCAAAGGTGATAGTGTGTAAAACGAAACACAATGATGTAAAAGGTTTGATAATTCTAACAATCATACCTAAAACGTAGCATGGAAATTTGGCAAGATCATTTAATCAATTGAGCTTTATCTAATTGGACGCTATATGAGATCTCACCAATCATATTTTGCAGGAAGTATTAAATAAAATATAAAACATGAATACAACATCGGCAATTTTCTTCGAAGTCAAAGAAAGGAAAACATAAGGAACCATAAGGTGACAGGTGATAAACTTAGAGCGGGGCCTGGCCAGGCCGGCCCTCCATGGCCACAAGCCTAAATAGGCAGGGCCAATTGGGCCCGTAGTTTGAAAAAAGACACTTTTACAGAACCCGACCTTTAAGCTCGCAGGCTCGAGCAGACCCACGGGTTTTTAGCTTGTTTAACAAAAATGTTTTTTTTTTTGCATCTTTTTTTAAAAAATAAAAATAAAATGAGAAAATTAGTTATCAAAGACATTTTGTTTAAAAAAGAAAAGAAAGAAATTAGTATCATGCTAGCTTTTGAGATACATGAATCACTTTGAGTTTATTTTTTTCATAATCATTTTTAAGTTAATTTCCTTTGAACTTTTTTTTTCATGTTCTTTTTAACTTTACTGAAAATGTAATTTCTGAAAGGAATTTTCGTTATGGTAACTCGCATGTTACTTTTTTTATTTGAAGATGTAAATTGTTTTCCGTTTTTTCTTTTCAGTTTGAAGAAGTAAATTATTTTTTTAATTCAAATTAAAAATTTTATTTTTACCAAAATCAAAGAATACTAGCCAAGAAAAACGACTTTTTAAATTGTAAATACACACTTACTGTAAAACGTGTAAACCATGTTTAGTAAGGTAATATTCATTTTTATTGAGAATGATCACTTTTAGAATGAGATTAATAGATTATATTGGTTATTTTACATTTATATTAATTTTGCATGTATAATTTTTTTAAAATAAAAAGTCACTTACGTAATTATGTAATCCCCATAATAAGAGAAGTTCAAAAGTATAATTTTATCCATTTTCTTAAAATATATTGAGTGATTGTTGTGAGTGAGTGTTTTGTTTCTTATATTTCTATTCTAAGGCTTTCTATTTTGGGTTAAAAAGAGAAATAAAAATAATTATAATATTCATATTATTATATTAGTTCAAAGTTCTAAAAGCAAAAAAAAAAAAAAAGGCTTTAAAATGCCGGCCCTACAAAGTTAGCCCTTTTAAGCCCAACTTATTTTTAGAGGACTCAAATCACAAGCCCCATCCTCATTTTAAACAAATTGGCTTGAGGAGCTCAGTCTATCTTTCTAACTCTAGATGAACTAACAGGGGTCCTAGTTCATAATTTCTGCAAAATATTGGGAGAAACTTGTGTGATGGAGGAGGGATGAGGCCTTTGAAGGTAATTTTTTTTAATAAAACACAAAAGGAAAGAAACAACTAGTAGAAACATGAATTTAGAACCAGGAAAACAGGTCGAGCCCATTTAGGCTAAAAAATTATAAGGGTTAGGTTTGAAATTTTTCCCTTCAAATAAGAAACGGGTTTAAAAAGATTGGCCCTGTAGGGCTAACGGCTTGTTTAAACTTTTTTATAATTTTTTTTGTTTTCTCAAAATTTTTGTGCAATTATAATATTATTAATTTTTTTATAATCTTAATGATATTTTGAATATTTAGTTATTATTATTATTTTGAAATTAAATTTCACAAAATTGTTTGATTTATTTGGTTTTAGACAATAATTTATCTAATTAAATTGTAAAAAATAGGTTAATTTGGACTTTAATAATAATTTGATTTATATTATATGTGTTAATATATTTAAACTATATATATTTGATAGGAAAGTGTTTTTAAACTTATATAATTTGTGATTTTATAATTTGAACTAGAAATTTATGAGTTTCAACAATAATACTTCTCAAACTAAAGTAAAATAATTGCTGGACTGCAAAAATTGAAAGTGAAATTCTTATAAAGAATAAAAACTTGATATTTTTGCTACGAAAGAAGAGCAATTGATTATAGTGATAATAAAATTTCAAAAAATTAATGATAGTGTTTGTCTATTATATATTTGCATTATTGATAAAACTTTTAGATGTTGTTGCCTTATTGATGGATGTTTTAGATGTTCTTGGATGTTGATGGATATTTATATATGATGATATTTTGTATTTGTGAATTAATTTTATTTATATTTATGTCTTTTATTAATAATTTCATTAGTTTGTTTTTATTTTTTAATAAAAAATATGAGAAACATGAAAAATAGTATTTCTTTTTTAAAATTAGCTGAAAGTCCATGGGCAGCCTTGAGCCCATTAGCTTAAGGGCGAGACTTAACAAATTAGGATATTTTTTAAATTTTATTCCTATAGTGTTAGCCCTTTCAAGCCTGTCAGGGCCGAGCCCATATTCCCCTCTCTAGATGCGATGCAGCGCAAAGAGACATAGTAAAACAAGAAAAAATTATGATAATCACTATTCTTGTAAAATTACTCATTTATTATTTTAAAATTCAACAGGTATTTTTTTAAATTTTTTCCCTATATCATAATTCATATCCATGGTATATACATACTATATACCTATCGTAGTAAATATAAGATCTAATTAAAAATTTAATTTGGTTCTAAATATAAGATCTTGATTTACTTTGTTTCTTATATTTATTTATTTATTTATTTTCAAAATAGTACCTGAAAAGACCTCTACTGTATACATAATTATAAAACTATTTTTAAAATGATAACCATGGTAGAAAAAGAATTGAGTTAGAGTGTTAAAATACTACCATGGTTATAAAGAGTTTGACTTATTTCGAAAACATCCCAAATGGCTCAGGATACACAAAACACCCATGGGTTTAACAACATGTAGAACAAAGCCTCAGGGCACAGTAACCGCCCACAAGCCCAACATAATATTCATCCCACAAAGACTTAGGGCACAAGAAACATAGGGTGTCTATCCTAGCCCACAAGTCATACATATAAGAGTATCACATACAGCAGAGTCTTATGGCTTTCAGCCATTTTAACAGCATTCCATCAAATACAGTCATCCAAACAAAAGAAAGTATATGTCAACACAGTTGTGGGCCCTAAGATGGCAATATACATAACATTACATGCTTAAACCAAAAGAGGACTACTAGGCTATGCTCGCCTATGCCTCTGGTTGCTTCCCTTCACGCCGAGCCAAACTAGATGGCTCTCCTGAAAAGCATTAATGGAATAGCGGGGTGAGACGTAAAGTCCCAATAACCAAGTATTAATTTATGACATATACAAGTAGGATGACAAGTTGGTGAAGTAGTGCTTAAATATAGTTTAAGAAGTAAAAGGTACTTTAATAGATATAATCACATAAAAAGAATATATCTCTCCATCCACAACACAATTCATATAAAAGTACATATATGCAACAATACAATGAAATATGCCCTCCCATCACCTTGCTCCTCCTTATGACTCCTTGACAAGGACCCGGGCTTTCTGTGCTGAGTAACCCGGCCAAAGGTCACCCCACTCACATCAAGCAACGGGCCCCCTCCTGTACCTACACCGCCTAAGAATGGACTATGGTGCAAGAGGTGTCTACCCAAGAGTTCATTCTCAATTCCGGGCCAAGGAAAAGGAAAAACTACAGGGGTCTAACAAAAAGAAGCCAAACACTGGGATCAATAGTGTAGGCATGCCGCGCGGGCTTCAAGAACAATTATCCTCCACATAACAAAATCCCATCCTCCACATATGAACCCCATGCATAGTCACAATATAAATCAAAATATCACAATCTTCAAAGTAAGATGATATAATTTCAAACAAAGTATAACACATTTTCATTTCATTTAATAACATAATATTAGTATATTAAATTCAGTACTACACGAAAACACAATTTCCAATAAAACACAACTCAAACATAATTAGATCAACATACTTCCCACTTCACCAAAATTTGTCATATAATACTTCAGGTATACTTTTACAAATTAACTAAGAAAATAAAAACATAATAAACACCTTACAATCCAAAGCGTGTATATAAAATAAATTAACCCCGGTTACCTCTACTCCAAGCTTAACCTCACAGCTTGAGAAATAAGAGCGCAAATTACAAACTCCGAAGTACAAGATAATCTACAAATAATATAGATACAATTTAATATACATACAAATAATTAACTTAAATTACATAGAATTTATTATTAATAATATCTATACATATATTTACTATCCAAAAAT